CGCAGGTACTAGCAGTAGGTTGGCGACCCTCTGCGTCAGTGACTTGGTCCATCGGAAACAACCCAAGTTTCCCCCGGCATGACATACCGGCATACTCCTCCTTTTCCAGCGGGTCCTTCTTCTCCGGCGTGACGTTAGGAGACGACACAGTTCAACTCCTCGATGTGGCGGCGATGCAGGGCAGGGGATGACACAGCGTTCTGTCCAGGTGCTCCTTCTCCGGCGACGTACTTCTCCTCTTTCGGCGAAGACGATTCAGAAGTTCAGCCACAGGCCCACAGTTCTTCCTCGTCTTCCACCGACATCTATATCTCTCACTCTCTCTCGTTTCTCACTCTCTTTTCTTTTCTTTCTACTATACGTCGTTCGCTCGTTTTGGGTATATGCAGCGAGGGTCTATCGGGTGGCTGCTATTTAAACATGATATGGGTTCTAGGCTAAGGTTAAGTGCATTGCATACAATAGGCATCGCAGGTTTTGTCTCCAAGAGATATGGGTGGATTTATCAAGATTAGCTTCTTCATTGATATGGGTGGGTTTGTCGAGATAAGTGTGTACGCAATCCATTATTTTTGACGTTATACTACCTCCGTTCTCTTTTAATTGCAACATTGGACTTTTTGCACTATTCGTGTATTCTACTTTGACTGTATTTTATTGATTAATGTATTATAAAATAAATATTTTTAAAATATTGTTAAATTCTTCTCATTCTAAATTTTCAAAAAATGATTTTTTTTTCCTGATAAGGAATGAAAGATATTAATGGTCAAACTTGTGCGTTGGCAAACGTGAAATATAATGTTGACTGTTGCAAGATCCGAATGGCTACCATGTGGGTTTCAAATTAATTTCTATGGCAAGATCCTAATATCTTATTGGCTGATTGACATATTTGGTGAAACATATCATGTGAGTGTATATTATTGCATTATTACTGTGTCATGTCTATTCTATATTATTGCTAGGTTATTGTGGATCTATTATTATTGATGTGTACTACGGACTCCGAATGTATTATTAGATTAAAAAGTCAACCTTTCAATCAAATTGACATTTGTGAGATGTCACTTACTCCCTCCGTATCACATATATCTTCTCACTTCCAAAGTGGGTGAGATTAAGAATAGTGAAATGGGGTATGAATTATTGAGGGTATGACGGGAAGATGGTGAAATAATGTGATGGAATGAAGGATAAATCCAAAAAAAGTAGGTGTAGTAGTGTATTATTTTTTTAAATAATTGAGGGTATGATGGGAAGATTTAGAAATGAGAAGATATAAATGTTACGTCCACAAAAGGAAAGTGGGAAGATATGAATGTTACGGAGGGAGTATTATTTACTCATTATATAATATGTACAATTATCAATTGTTACAAAGACATCTATTTTTGTTATTTAAGTCAAAATCTTATCTGGTCAGTCTAATTATTATAAAATGTCAATTTTGAAACATTTTATATAATTAAAAAAATTATTTTATTTAAATTTTTCGGAGTATCACACGAACTGCCGATGCTAAACGCTACATTTATAGGCGTTTTCAAAATTGGCTGTTTGGGATAGGAAGCCAAGTTAAAAAGCCATTAACCAAACACCACTAATAGCTGATTGATATGGTCAAACAATCAAATAACAATTAAATTAGCCAAAAATTGACTGATAGACCCCTAATCAAACAACCCCATTGTTGAGTATGTCAATATGTGTTATACATATCATGGAAGTGAATGAATGCATTAAGAAAGTTTGTTGTGCAGTGAATATGACTGGCAATGCAGTAACACAGAGCAGTAATTTCGCCATGAAACGCAATACTTAATTAGACGTAAAAAAGTAAAATTATTAAATCTAAAAAATAAAAAATAAAAACAATAAATAATTTCGTAAAGTGAATGAGAAGAAAATCAATTTTGGCGAAAGTGCAATGATTATTCCCGGATGAGCAGTAATACCATGCAGTAATGTCGTGCTGTAATTCTAATTGGACGAAATCAGTGCAAAATGCACATATTTTAAATAAGGGTATTTTCGTCATTCAACATTAAAATATAAACGATTTTTTTTTATTTTCAGTCATACAAAAGTTACTAAAGCATTGCTAACTTTTTGGTTCTCTAAAGGTTCGATTGTAATAGGTCTTAGAGCATCTCTAATGGTTGCTTTTAGGGACTTGCTTGCAATTTTGAAGCTACTAGCTTACCATTAGAGCATTGTTCTTCCTTTTGCTTGAAAAAGCTAATTAGCCTAAATGAGCTACTAGCTTGAGCAAGGAGAATATTAAATATAGCATTATAAACAATAAATGAAGAGAAAAATGTTATAGCTAACCATTAGAGTATATTTCAATTTTGCTACGAAAGGTTATGTGGCTAGTCAAGCTATAAGGGTAATTAGCTAACCGCCGGAGATGCTCTTAGCTTGTTTTGGCCTGGCTAATTTGCTTGCCCAAGCTAGAATGATATATGCACTCCAATGATAGGCAAGTAGCTTGGAAATTGCAAGCAAATCCCTAGAAGGAACCATTGGAGATGCTCTTATTGTTTCCTCTTAATACACTATTACAATTAAAGAGTATTTTTTTGGATTTATCCTACACCCCATCACATTATTTCAATATCTTTCCATCAACCCTCAATAATTCATATTTCCTTTCACTATTCTTAATCAACCTACTTTTAAAATGATAAGGGTTTTAAGTCACGAAGGAGTATTATAGAGTATATAAGTAGGCCTGTCAATGGGTCGGGTCCGGGCCGGAACGAAGTGTTCCAGACCCGGACCTGCTAAGTTAATAATGGATCCAGACCCGAACCCTTTACTCGGCGAGTCTAAAAATTTGGACCCAGACTCGGACCCAACGGGTCTCGGAACTGGGTCGGGTAGACCCGCCAAATATGATACCGTTATAAATTTGTGAAAATAACAAGACCTATGTGCAATGTAAAGAAAAGTGCATAAACTAAAAAACAAAATATATCCTCACTTTTTCAAAAAAAAATCAAGATTTTTCATATTATTACTTTTATCCAATAAAGTATTGGTTCTTGCGTATAACTCCACACTCTGTGTCGCTTTTTCTCGTACATAGAGCTCGAAGAATAAACTTCAAATTAAGGGGGTGTTTGGAACTGATTCTGATTCTGCTTCTTTTTTAAAGAAGCAGAATTAGAATCAGTTTTCAGAAGCTGGTCGCCCCAGCTTCTAAAAAACTGATTCTAGGAATAAATTAGACACCAGAATCACTTCTGCACTTTCACCCAAACACTCCAACTTCTTCTTCTGCTCTCTGAAGGAGCAGAAGCAGTTTTAAGAATCAGATCCAAACACCCCTAAGACATAAAAAATGTCTTGGACTATTGAAAGTATAAAAAGCATATTGTACGAAGTGTATGATAATGATATAATAATAATTATTATAATAATGAATATTGTGTGTTACTAACCGAGCCCAATACACATTTATCATTATGAATAAACGGCCAAAATGAGTATTAATTTAATGCTATCACACTATCTCAATCAGTATCACTTATATAATAGGTATGTGTGTGTATTAGTTTGTAATTTTTTTACTTAAAGTGTTATAATTAATCACTTTATGTATCAATGTGTTTGTATACAAATAAGAAATTTTAAACGGATCCGGGTCCTTAACGGGTCGGAGTCATATGTAACGTACCCGACCCATTTATTAAATATACTAACGGGTCCGGATCCGGGTCCAGCTAAACGGAATAAAATATAGACCCATACCCGTTAAAAATAACCGCGTCCGGGTCTAGACCCGACCCATTTATAGGCCTATATAATATACGTGAAATTCACATCAATAATCTTTACTTTGGGCTGTTCTACAATAATAATCCCTACTAAAGAAATTGATATAAATAATCGGTACCTTTAAACACATCCATTTAAATAGATTAAATGAAACGGAGGTAAAACTTCTGTTTGATATTACCCTTACCCCATCCATCCCACTTACCAATACCATCATCCTCTTCTACGTATGCCCATCTGGCCATCTTCCCCACCGCGCCGGTTGTTCTCTTTTGTTTTCTTTTTCAAGCTTTTCATGTCTGCTGAACACTTGATTTTTTTCACACGATGTTTTGTCACTTTTAGTTATTCACTCCCTGTCCTAATGAGTTATCATATGGATTTGATTATATTTTTTTGAATATTAAATTGTAAGATTGGAAATTATAACACCAGAATCCTTAGCTAATTTAAAAAAGAGCTGTCAAACGGGCCAACCAGGCTCAACCTGCCCTAACCCGTGATGGGTTATGCTTTATGTGGGTTGGGTCGGGTCGGGTAGGGCCAACCCTAACCCAACCCGCCTAACCCACGGGCTAAACGGGTTGGCCCGCACGCCGTTGCAAAAAATATATATGAAAAAATTATTCTTTAAAAATAATTACCCTTGAGTATATATTTATATTAGTAAGTAGTAGTATATGAAATATAAGAAATCAAAATACTAAGAAATCAAAATACTAAGAAATCAATACTTGTTATGTTTAATTAAAAAAATAATTGGTGAAGTATAAAGCTCACCCAATTGAAGTACGAAGTACAAAATGCGGCGTTTGTTTAAAATGAAAAGAAAGAAAAAATGTTGAAACTTGAAAGAGGGGGAAGAAGTAACAACTTACAGGGAGGTGAGTGTGTGACAAGGGATGGGGTATATGAACATGAAAAAGAAGAAGATGAAGGAGGAGGAGGAGGAGGAGGGGGGGAGGAGGAGGAGGAGGAGGAGGAAGAAGAAGAGATGCACGTGATATAGGAATATCAAATGAACCGTCAACTCCGTTTCATTTAATCTGCTTATGTGAATCTACTTACATGTTTGGATTATTTGCATCAATATCTTAGGTATGGATTATTAGTGTAGAACGGGTAAATTCATTATTAGTATTAATGAATTTCACCTATAATATAATAATATACGAAGTATATAAGTATGGATTGTTAGTTGATTTTCCGGGTTGACTCGATATGACTGGGGGACCATTCCAGATTTTTAAAGTGAGAACATTGCGGAACGACCATTCTTATGAGCGTTCTCAGGACCTAGCAATCACAATCCCTCAACAGAACACAAACCTAACAATTTTCCTCCAAAATTCAATTTTGACCGACCAAGCCGAGGATAACTCGTTGTTTGCTGATGCGATACGGTCTGTGGGTTCATTACTCCGATGAGTGAAAAGGGTGTAGCTATAGAAATACAAGAATCAGGAGAAGATGATTTTGGCATAGGGGTGAAACTTGGGACTGAAAATGTAGAAGATTATTCGAAGGAAAACGTTGGAGCGAACAAACGGATTAAGGGTACGTCAATTGATAGATTCAGTGCATTGCCTGATTGCTTACTTATTCACATCCTCTCGTTTTTGGGTGTCAAAAAAGCTGCGGTTACGAGCTTGTTGGGGAAAAGATGGAAGTCTGTTTGGGCTGAATTGCCCGTGCTTGAATTCCATTTTGATTCCTCTCATGAAAGTAAGAAAACTATGAATACGCCTGACTTGATGGCTTGGGTTGATAAGAAAACGCTTGACTTCGTGGCTTGGGTTAATAACACACTTGCTATTCGTAATGGAAATTATTTGGAGAAGTTGAAGGTTGTTTTCCTTTACAAGAAATGCTTTGAGCCGGATGTTGATGATTGGCTAGAGTTTGCTTTGAAAAATAAAGTGAAAGATGTCAGTCTGGCATTAGGCGAAAGCGAAGATTTCTGCACTCTAGAATTGTACACTCTTCCAGAAATGATGTATTCGAATTCATTCTTGACATCATTGTCTTTGGATAGTTGCATTTTGGAACCTGAAAAAACAATCCAGTGGCCTTCATTGACTTCTTTACAGATCTCTCGTGTGGGTTTGCCTCAGCCTGTACTTGAAATGATTTTATCAGGCTGTCCAGTTTTAAATTCAATGGATCTCAGTGGTTGTTGCGGATTCACTTGTTTGGAGATCAACTCTAAGAGTCTACATAACCTCCGTGTGCAGAACGATGAAGGTGAAGAAGAAGAAGAAGAAAGTGACCTTTTCTTGCAAATTTCAGCACCCTATCTAAAATCTTTAAGTATTTCTCTGTATCCGGCAGAAAGGAAGTTGAAGCTCACTAACCTCTCATCTCTTGTTGGTGCTGAATGTTATTTTTCTGAACACTGGTGGAGTTCGCCCTCTGAGGTGCTGAGTAATGCAAAGGAATACTTCGAAAACATTAACCATGCCAAGGACCTCGTTCTGGGGTCTGGGCCTGTTAAGGTTTGTATTGGTTGTAAAATTCATTTGATCTTCTAGCCCACTTTTCAGAAAATCTTTCATCACTTATATTGTCCCTTAATTTGGATATTATCGTTGGATATATTTTTTTAAATTCTGAAAGTCAGTAGTTGATTGGTTACCATATTCAAAAACAGACACGACATCGAACCTGCTGAAATGGTTTTCTTATCCTGCCTATTGTCAATTGCAATACACTCTATGACTCTAGTTATAATGATAGTATAGTCCAGAAACAACATTTGTGCATAGTCCAACTTCTTATGTAATGCAAGATAGAACACTTTAAGTATTTAGCCATAAAATGTTAATTCCTACCCATCTTTTAAAAAACTAAACCTTTACGAATATTATGCATACTTGTATTTTTCTATTGAAAAAATAGTTTTCTAATCAACAAAATTAATGCCATCAACAGAGTGTCATGATTTTTTTTTTCTAATTTGTCCAAGCGGGAATTACTACTTTCCATCATTTGCAATGGAGCCAAAGATTCATTATTTTTTGGCTTGAAAATATGATGGAATAAAGCAAAATGGCTCACTAAACTGTCAGCGCTTCTTTGTTATGAAACAACAGTTAGTTCATGCAATTTTGGACGTGATTTTCACTATGGGTCATCCGGAAACAGTCTCTCCGTGCTTTAGTACAGGGGTAAGACTGCGTACATCCGACCCCCTCTTACCCCACCGTAGGTGGGAGCCTTTGCGGCACTGGGGTAAATGAAAATGAAATGAAAATGAAAATGTAATATTGTTGTGTGTTCTGATTAAGTCTGGTCTAGTATGGTCTGAATTGATCCGGTCTAATCTAGTAGATGTTTGTTTTATTTGTATTTTACAACTAGCGAAATCTGGTCTAATATCATCTGCTTTGGTGTGATCTGTTTGAATCTGATCAGTTTGTGTATGGGGATAATACAGTTTCTTGAGTAAAACTTTTGTGTCTTGGTTTGCCAACAATACATATGTGACTTGGAAAGAATACAGTTTCTTGACTTATACTTTTGTGTTTTTCTCACAGTTATGACTAACTTAACAAATAACATCTCACGTTGGTAGTTTTTGTTACATATAAGTGTCATGATTTTTGTTTCTACTGTCAGGAAAGACCATGTAAAGTGAAACTAAGGTGTAAATCTTGCAATGGGAGTTGGTCACTCGGGGATTTGGATTGTATGAGGATTGAGGAATATATGAATATGTTGTTTTGGTTTCATATATTTTCTTTGAGATCTTACATTGTATATTCTTTATAGGGAAAACTGTCAAATAGGTCCTCGAACTTTCATAAAAAAGTCAATTAAGTCCTTCTATAGGAGACTCTGTCCGGTTGTCGCGATTTGGGGCGGTTCCTGGTGGAATTTTTTGATGAATTTTTTTGAGCATTTTATTCATCAATTCTAGTTTACTCATACCAAATTTCAGCTAAAAATTTAATCGGAAGCGCATTCAAATTAATTCGAGAACGCAAAAATGCGCAGTTATCTTCAAGAAATAATTTGAATGTGTTCCCGATTGAATTTTTAGCTGAAATTTGGTATGAGTAAACTAGACTTGGTGAATAAGATGCTCAAAAAATTTCATCAAAACATTCCACCGGGAACTTCCCCAAATCGCGACGGGCGGACAGAACCTCTTATAGAAGGACTTAATTGACCTTTTTATGAAAGTTCGAGGACCTATTTGACAGTTTTCCCTTCTTTATATCTATAATTTACGTTTTGCTGCAACATGTAAACTAGGCTCTAGCAGAGTTGGTGATGAATGGTTGGCAGCTCCCAAAAAGCCGGCTAAGGTGCTTGACAATAAAGATTTCATGCGATGCTGTGAAAATCATTCCGGGCATTTTATGCCTGCTGGAATCTTCTCCGGACCTTGAGGCATTGATCATTGATTCTATTGATCCCTACAAGGTAAGTGTTCTCAATTCATGTATTGTTTTTTGGACTTTTTGTACGACTGTACGAACATGTGTTTAGTATTGTTTGACGTGATTTGTGTATATGCTTTATATATAATTGTGATGCTTTCAAGATAAACCAGCAATGTCTCCATGCCATTAAGACTAGATTTGTCTTGAATTTGTTGTGTTTGTAGCGGGACGAGAATTGGCCCCCACTTGCAAAAGGTGATTTGGATTCCGACTTATTGCATCTGAAGACAGTTAAACTGTATAACTTGGCATATCCAAGTATTGGTGGTGAACCAATGCTTACATTGGCCAGAATCCTTCTTAAGAGGGCAACAATACTGGAAGAGATGGTGGTTAAGGATGATAAAATAACTACAAGTGACTCTGTCAAGTTTCGTCAAACCTTGCTCACTTACCCGATATCCTCGCCAAACGCAGTCATCTTATTATCTTAACTATGTAAAATTTTAATGGTAGCCGTGCCACCTACGTATTATTATCTTTTACTTTCATGTTCTAACATGTACTTAATGTAGAAGATCATGATTCATGAAGGTGGAGTCAACGAATCTTTGCTTGAAAATTTGGCGTCCTAAATTTCAAATATGAATATTATTGTGCTCCTTTGGTTACCAATCTTCCTTCTACTTTGTAAGCTAATACTTTATATTTGAATGATCTAATTTGGATGGTAATTCTCTGGAGATTATCGGATTAGTTGGCTTTTTCAAAATCTTCTGCACAAGCACGTCAACAACCATTGAACACATTTCTCTGTTAAGTGTTTGCATAATTCTATTTGAACGTCCAATTATACCATTCTGTATCAAGTTTTCTTTAACTCCATAATTATTTTGCCCAAAAAAATAGTTATTATTCGTAGTTTCATACCGTTTCTCTCCCTCTTAAGACTTGTGTGAACCGATTAATACACAAAATATGCGGCCTAGTAGGCCTGGACTTGGGCCGGTCGGACCGAACTAGAACCAGCCCGGACCGGTACTGTTTGTACCCGGCCCGAGAACCGGTCAGGTGGGCGGTCTGGGCCTAACCGGCCCGGTAGGTAGGCGGTCCAGGCTCGGGCCCTGCAAATGACGAACCGGCCCGGCCCAGGCCTCAATGGCTATTTTTGTTATTTTATTTTTTAAATTAAATAAAGCTCCCTAGCCGTTTGGAATAATCCCAAATGGCTCTATAGCCATTGGAGGGGGAGGAGGGATGGTCCAGGGGGTTTTGGGGTGGGGTGGGTGGTGGGGGATACCAAAAAATCCTATTTATACTCCTATTTTCTCTACATTTTTCACACCATCTTCATACAATCCTACTCTCTAATTTTCCATTCTCTCATATTCAATCATCTCCATCTTCATCTTCTCCAAATCTCTCTACATATATATATTATTTATATAATTATTATATCTACTTGTATATTAATTATCTACTTATATACATATATTATATTACTAATATTTATTATCTACTTATATATTTATTGTTATTTACTTATATATAATAAAGTATTATATATAAGTGTATTACTCATCTTATAGTAATATACTTATATATTATATACTATAAACATTATATTATATATTAGTTATACAATTATATTAGTTACACTTGAAGTCATAGTAATTAAATTCATCGTATTAGTTAATTTTTACATTTCTCATTATCCTAATTTAGTTAATTAATACTTGTCTCATTTTCTCTATTAGTTAATTCATTGTTTTTTCTATTCATAGTAATTAAATTCATTGTATTGTTACATTTTTCATTTTTCTATTAGTTAATTTGTTAATTGTTGCATTTATCATACAAGTATAAAACTAGTTAATTGTTACATTTTTCATTAAAGTATAAAACTAGTTAAGAAAGTCTTATTTGTCTTATTTTTTTTCCGAAAGTCTTGCTTTTAAAGATTATGCACAAACTTGTTTAAATCCTCAATTTAGAGGTTATAGTCGCAAAACGGTTAAGAAAGAAATTATAAGGCTTTATCGTGCGGAAAAGGATAGGTTACAAATTTTTTTTGCAAACTTTGATGGCCGTGTTACTATTTGTTCTGACATTTGGGAGAATACTTATCATAATTTACATTATTTGGGTCCGACTGCACATTTTATTGATAATGATTGGAATTTGCATAAACGTGTTCTTGTTTTTCGTGAATTTAATGATCGTCACACCGCTGAATATATTTATATTTTGATTGAACGTATTTTAAATGAGTATAATTTGATCGATAAGATGTTTGCTATAGGTTTTGATAATGCTACTAATAATAATAATGCTATACCTAGATTGCGTGAATTGTGTGGTTCTAATACTTTGATGGGTAGATGTTTTCATCAACGATGTGCATGCCATGTTATAAATTTATGTGTGCAAGTCGGTCTAAAAGCGTTAGGAGATGCTATGCTAGTCAAGGGGGGATTAGACGTATTTGGCACAATGGTCAACTTAAATTACAATGGAAAAATTATTTGATTGAAAGATGTGTGAAATATGTTACTTTTCCTAAAGATTTGTCTATTCGCTAGAATAGTACTTATAAATTAATTAAAGTTCTTCTTAGATATAAAGAACATTTTCCTGCTTTTTTTAAGACAATATGATAACTATATTTTAAACTCCGCTCACATCGACACTTGCGAAAAAATTTGTAATGTTTTGATATTTTTTAATAATGCAACCGAAAGTTTTAGTCATGTTTATAAACCTACCTCAAACAAATTTATTCGTGAAGTTGTTAATCTCGCCGGTGCTTTTAATGAATTTGAGAATGCCGCTTACGTGAGTTATTTTTGTGGTTTTATGAAGGATTTTTTTTAAATATTATGCACATATTCCGCATATTTATGGTATTGCATTTATTCTCGATCCTCGTTATAGACTTGGTAATTTGGAAGAATGTTTGAAGTTCTATTAGTATGCTTTTTTTTGGTCCATTTCCAATGTATGACGATAACGCCATAGATCCGCAAGTTGAATACAACGAGGTTAGTAATTTATTTTATGCCTTATTTAATGAGTTTCATGCACAATATGGCAACACGCCCCCTCCCCTGACACAAACATCTTCATCTAAAGGAAAATAACTTTTTAAATCTGCTTTTGGCAATCTTATGAAAAAACTAAAACAAGTCACACTACTGAACAAAGCACACTTAATGAGATTTCTTTGTATATAAATTATGAGGTAAAATTTGACGAAAATGATTACTTTGACGTTCTAAAGTGGTGGAAGTCAAAAGAAAGAATGTTCCCGATTTTGGCACGGATGGCTAAGCAAGTGCTATCAATGCCGGTTTCAACAGTTGCAGTGGAACACGAATTTAGTTCGGCCGACAACGTTCTAACGACATCTAGAATGAGTTTGAGCGCAAAGTCTCTTGAGACGCTTATATGCTACCACGATTGGTTGAAGGCCATACGTAGAACTCAAGAAATTAGCATCACCTCCTCCCAAGACTTTATGGATGAATCAACAACCGAGATTGACTCCTATGCCGGAGATTCCGATTGATTAGTATTTTACAATTTATTATAAAATGTATTTCATGTTTTAATTTTTCCCTCAATTCTCTATTGTAATTTGTAAACCTGTACTACGATGAACCTCCTAAATAAGGGCTTATTTGACTTTTTTTGGTTAGTACATGGGCTTATTTGCCCATTTTCCCTTTTTTATATGTAGCACTTCTCAAATTAATTAATTGGTTACAAACTTACAACTTATAACTTAGAATTAATTATATTAGTATTTAATAGAAAATGTATTTCATATTGAAGTTGTATTAATAAGTAAAAAAAAATTACAAAGGCCCGACCCGACCCAGCGGGTGGCCCGGCCCGAACCGGCACCGGGCGAAGGACGGGCCGGTCCCGGGCCCCCCATTCCAGAACCGGAGGCCCGACCAGGCCTAGGCCCGGCCCGAGTCCAGGCCTACGGCCTAGTATCCCTTTCTAGGGTTTTGCTTTTTCCGGCCCGAGTCCAGGCCTACGGCCTAGTATCCCTTTCTAGGGTTTAGCTTTTTCGTCGCTCTAGCTTCGAAGGTCTGTGCAACAATTTTACTTTCTTCATTTGAATGTGTTTCTGAGTTGTGGGCCTTGTGGCTATGGTGTTCGTTGATCTTCGAGAGAGTTCTTCATTTGCAGCGTTTAACATATCAAACTTTCTGGTGATTGTGCTCCTTATGACAATTACTCCAGAGACGGATAGCACGGGTGGCCAGTGGCGGATCCAGAAATTTTCCGAAGCGGGGACACTCCCACATAAATAAAAATGGGTCGGGTCAGATCGAATTGGGTGTATCATTGGTCTTTTTTGTCAAGTGCGTTCAAATTAATATTTTTAACTGGAAATAGATTATTCAATCCCGACGTCAAGCAATGAATATATACGGATTACAAGTCTAATTGTGAACTCATTAAGACAGTTCTAAACAACAATATTTGACTGTTTGAAAGAAAGACATAATTTGGCGGATTAGAAATGGCTCATCTTTGTGCCGTTTCTGATTTTACATTAGAATTTTTGCTATTTTTCATACTATAAAATGATCAAGATTTCAGATTTGAACTAAGATCATGTCGATGTTATACATTGTGCCACAAAATTTCTTGGTACTTGTCTAAAATATAATACTATCGTGTTAAATTAAATTAAGTACAAGTCAAGTTTAGGATTTCATCATTTAATACAACTTTATTTATTAATATGATTCTATATATCTAACTTTTACGAGTATCATATTATAGAAAATATTTAAAGGGTATGTCGATTTGAAACTAATTTATCGCGAATTAACACATTTTTCATGTATCAACTTTTATTTAAGATAAAAGTCTTCAATCTATTAAGTTTATCCTGCATATTAGAACCCTTGTCGTATCTTTGAACTTTAACTTTGGACCGACATTATTCACACCAAGTAAAAAATCATCAATGTCACTTTTCAATTAATGTGTAGTAACAATATAACAACATATCTAACTATAAGAATTTCCTCCATCACAACTGCATGGTTGTTTATATTTCTTACTACAATTATTATATGTTTTCGACGGAGTCCTGTACATATAATAGTTTTTTGAAATAATGACAATTTGATTGAAATAAAGATAGTGGACAAAAATATAACTTAGGTACTACCAAAGCAATTTTAGTGACCATAATTATGTTCATTAGTTATATTTCAGTAATACTAATGAAAAATACTATAATTTTTTGTCCAGATAATAGGGGCACAATTTTTATTTTAAGTACTAATACTAAACTTTGTGGTCGGAATCCGGGGCACTTGCCCCCCTAGGCCCCGGCCTAGGTCCTCCACTGCGGGTGGCAGTACCCATATGTTGATGCTTGATTTGGTGGTTCATGTGATTTTGCCGACGGTGAAGTCCGAACTCATTTGTATTTGATGGTTGATCATATGAGGTACTTGGACAAATGTCCCTTCTTGAGCTGCTTCTATGGAGAGATCGTGTGACTAGTGTTTGGAAGACTTTTCAAGTTTGCATTTGGCGCATGTGGTTTATTGCTCTATTTTCCTTCCAAGTTTTTCTTATACTTTTTAGACTTCTTACTTTGGTTTCGGTTTGCTTGTAGTACAGACTTTTTTTTAGGTGCTTATGACCGTTATTTGCATCGAACCTCTTGTATATTCAACGAAAACTTTCGCTCTATTATGAGTGAACTTTTCTATGTATGATCATGG